AAGTGTTTATTAGGGAATGAGTTCATTGATTGATCCACTTATGAAATGCTGGATAATTGATGATGCCTTATTGTCAGATAGTGATTCCGTAGTCCTAGTGGTGTATCTGGTCTTTAAACTTGAGACAACAAGGATTTCTTATATAAGTACTTTATTCTTTGACACCGGACTTATAGGTCTGGAGGTTCCAGATCTAGCACAACCAGTCATCGGGAGTGGTAGCCAACCTTACGAGGACTATTGAGTGTCGATAGAGGATCATCCACTCTCGATGTTATGAGAAGAATGCCTCATGTGTTCTTACTCAGGCAAATCTCTAGCTAGTGTCATTCGGATTGAGAGAGAAAGAATTCTTCGGGAGAATCCGATTAGAACGAGACTCGAGTAGAAACCATATAGGTCTGATAGCACCATACCCGGTATATGGTCTTTGAAATATTAGATGGATGAGGGACTATATGTATATGGTAACTGATGACAGATAGGTCTAATGAATTGGATTCCCCTGTATCATTTGAGGATTGCATCGTAGTGGCCTAGTACGCCCGCAATCGATGAGTCGAGTGAATTATTATGGAGATAATTATTCACTAAGCCAGAAGGAATTCTGACAGGTATGACTCACGGTCAGCTCGATATTGGGCTTAGAGGGTCACACATATATGGTAGGCATTGCGATGAGTAGAGGTTTGGATATGAGATATTCGCCGGAGCCTCTATCTTATTTTATATCCAATAAGCTCCTGAATTATTGGATCCTATGGATGAGATCCAATAAGAGATAATGAGAGAATATTGGATAGAGATCTACTAATCTAAGAGGCTTGGGTAGTTGGATGGAGATTCAATACCTAATAGGGTAGGATCCATTAGGGTTATGTTGATAGGAAACCTCTATAAATAGGAGGGAATCAATGGTTTATAGGCTAGAGTCTTTTTGGGTTGCTGCTAGTCATAGGTGCCCAGCAAGCCAATCACGTGAGTGATGGCACGTGTGACTTGATACAGAATCTTTTTGCTTATTATATTTTGGCGTATATCACTTTATAACTATTGCATATGTGCATATATATATTGTGATGTCCTTGGATTTGTGCAATAGGAATCGGATCGTGATGAGATCACGATAATGAGATCGATTCACCTTTAAATGCATATCCTAAATAATCCTGGTCATAGGTTACTCGAGAGGGACATCGTGATAAACAGACTGGTGTGCTGTATACCCGTCCATATGATGGATGCAGCTGGTCTCATAGCTGCTCGTGTAGGGACACTAGGGATACAATACAGGTGCTCATTGGAGAATGAGTTCACTGATTGATCCGCTTACGGAATGCTGGATGGTTGATGATGCCTTATTGTCAGACAGCGATTCTGTAGTCCTAGTGGTGTATCTGGTTCTTAGACTTGAGACACCAAGGATGTCCTGTATGAGTGCTCCACTCTTTGATAGCAGACTTATAGGTTTGGCTGTCCCAGATCTAGTACAGCTGGTTATTGGGAGTGGTAGTCGACCTTACGAGGGCTATTGAGTGTCGATAGAGGATCAGCCACTCTCGGCGTCATGAGAGGAATATCCCATGTGTTCTTGCTCAAACAAATCCTTGGCCAGGGTCATTCGGGTTGAGAGAGAAAGAGTTCTCCGGGAGAATCCGATTAGAGCAAGACTCGAGTAGAAACCGTATGGGTCTGACAACACCATGCTCGATATACGGTCTCTAGGATATTAGATGGATGAGGGACTATAGATACACGGTAACTAAGGACAGACAGGTCCAATGGATTGGATTCCCTTGTATCGTCTGGGGACTACGGCGTAGTTGCCTAGTACGTCCGTAGTCAATGAGCCGAGTGAATTATTACAGAGATAATAATTCACTGAGTTAGAAGGAGTTTTGACAGGTATGACTCACGGCCAGCTCGATATTGGGCCTAGAGGGTCACACACATATGGTAGGCATTGCGATGAGTAGAGGTTCAGATATGAGATATCCGACGGAGCCATTGTCTTATTGGATGCAGATCCAATACCCACTAGGGGAGGACCCATTAGGGTTTGACAGGGGATCTCTATAAATAGGAGGGATTCGGAGCCTCATAGGCTAGAGTCTTTGCTTGCCTTTCCTATTCTCCTCTCCCTCTCCACCTCAGAGCAGGCCTGGAGTTTTGAGAAGCGTCGTCGCAACCCTGCTGTGTGGATCACCGCTAGAGAGGAGGACGCTTGACCTCCTTCACCCTCTCCTAAGGATCTGCAAGGAAACAGGGATATACGATCTCCCTAGGTAACACAATCTACTCTATACGTAGTTTTGAGTTTCGCGGATTTTGCGCACCAATCTTCTCACGACGACGAACATCTTTTTGGGAATCGGGGATTTTGTTTTCTTGTTCTTCCGCTGCGCATATGATGTCGCCCCCAAGATTTCCCAACGGTTGCCTCTCCTATTCTTCTCCCATCTCCTCCTCGGAGACTTGAGGAGCATCATTGCAGCTCTACTATGTGGATCACCACTAGAGTGGAGGATACATGACCTCCTTCACCCTCTCCTAGAGACCTGCAGGGATTCAGGGATATACGATCCCTAGGTAACACAATATTTAATATACGTAGTTTTTCTGTTTTACGGATTTTGTGCATCAATCTTCGCACGACGACAAACACACATATGAGAAATTTGGGGATTTTGTTTTTATATTCTTCCACTACGTATGTGATATCGCCCCCTACATTTCCCTATAGATATAGCCTGAGAGATTCGTGTCCAAGGAAAGTCCAGATAAGATGTGTAGGTTGAACAAGCTTCCCAAAGTTGAAACATATGATTTGATGAGGTGATCAGATTTTATGACTTCGTTAAGAATGAAGATGAACCTTATGTATAAAGGAAAGTAAGTTGAAGCACTATCACATTCTTGGTATTATATGTGGATAACATTCTAATCATTGTGAATGATGTATGAATACTCTTTATAGTAAAGACTTGGCTATTTAAACACTTCTCCATTAAAGATTCAGGAAAAACATCCTAGGGATTCAGATATATAAAGATATATTCAAGAGGATGCTTGATTTGTCCTAGTCCAGGTACATAGATACCATTGTCAAAATATTTGTTATGAAAAATTTCAAAAGAGGTCTCATACCGATGAGACATGAAATTTCATTTTCTCGGAGTATGTCCCCAAAAACTCTTTAATGAAGGGTAAACATAGATAGGATACTCTATGCATTTGCGATAGGATTTATCATGTATACTATGTTATGTACGAGGTCTGATATAATGTATACTCTAACTATCACAAACAAATATAAGGATCCGAAACACTAAAATGTTATGATAGCTAATTGAGTTTTTTAAATGACCTAGATAAAACGAAGGTTTCCTTCGAGTAAGTTGTGATCCTGAGTAGTTTAATTCAATGCGAAAAAGCTACTCATCAATATAAGACCATTAAACAATCCGCTGAAGACACCCAAGCCAGTAAAATAATGTAAACTGGTGGTTTACATTATTCATGGGGAAATAAACAATTCCGGTTGACTTGGTGAGTTAAAAATTTGTTTGAAGACTATAAAATAAACCTCGATTAGTTTTCTGATTAAAGAGAAATAAATTATTCATTTAATTAGTAGTAGAAGCTTCAGTTAAAGCAAGTGTCTAGATTACCCTAAGACCTTTATATATGATTTTCTAATCGGATCAAGTAGTGACGATGGAGAATAAATATTATCCTTCTTCTCTATCATTTCTATGGATTATTGAACTTTCAACGCACAGAGCCGTACATAATAGTGATGAAGGACGTTGATATATATATATATATATATATATATATATATATATATATATATATATATATATATATATATCATGCTGTGTCAAAGAACCTTTAGCCAATAGGTGATGAAAAGGGGTAAGAGGACTTGTCAGAGTGCTGCTGCTGTGATATCATGTTACGCTCATCTGGGATCGAAAGAGCCTTAAACCTGAATTGGTGATGATACCGGACCCAAATTGACGAGGATCACAAGAGTCTGAGTTAGCCAATTAGTGTCCGGTCGTAATTTTGGCTTTTCACGCTGGCTCATTTCTCATATACTTTTTAATGATTTTCCATAGAATTTGGCCCAACGTTTTGTGCTAGTCATGATTTCATTTGCTAATTGGTATTCCTTTAATAAAACGACTCATAGTTATTAGAATCGGATTGGATCGAATTGATTGATAAACAGTAACTCAGTGAACCAAAGCTTAGACAGACTAGTGAGCAACAAAGAGTGATAAACCAAACCTGCATATGATGCTGCTATGCCCCGTACTGGTTAATTTAAATGACAATCAAAATGAAAATAAATCCTCTGAAAGCAGAGTTGTTAGATCGTAAAAGACAGTTGACTTTTACTAATGTAGCAGCTGCCTAATCTGTGCTGCAAGCGTTGTCGATCCCAACTATTAAGACCTAATGCCGCCTCTACAAAAGAACAGGAGGCAGTTGCCATGGTCCACTTATAACCCAAGAACATGGCTTGCATGAACAAGAAAGCAGAGTCGAAATACTCTACTGCGATGAAATTTAAAGTCACATTAATAAACTATTGACATGATTTTTTTGACCTATACGTATATAATATTCTCATTTATGGATTCCTTTATAATGTAGAACAAATATTTTTGGCAGAGATTTCTTTGTCCTCCGCAACCATGGGACATGAACTCCTTCATCAGTATAAACCAGAAACATAGAAGTCGAGGAGTAATATTCTCGCACGACCACCTTAGGCCGCATGATCCGAACCTGCAAGCACGTCGCCGCCGTCCTTGTAATCTATCTTAATCCGTAGAAATCCGTATATCTAATTGATCTCGATGACATCCGGTAGAAAGTCCCACCGTTGACATCGTTGAATTGTTAGTTTAATCGAAATTTAGCATTTCAAACACTATTTATGTACAGATGCCGTGGCAGATGCAGTCCCACTGTTTCCGGTTGCTGCAGAAAATCAACGAGAACGATGGCTTCCCTACTGTGGCCGTGCAGCCTTGTCTTCTTCCTCGTTTCTACTGCGACGGTGTCGTCGGCCCTTTCCTTGCCGATACCAAGTCTCAGGTTTCAGCCGGGTCCATGGAGATACGCCCACGCTACATTCTACGGCGACGAGTCGGCGTCGGAGACCATGGGTACGTAGCTACGGATCTACCACGCGGGCTGGTCCTCGGCTTTCGTTGTTCTTTCCACGTTGCTCACCGGGGTTTCTTCCGCGTAGGTGGAGCTTGCGGCTACGGGAACCTCTTCAGCTCCGGGTACGGGATCGCGACGGCGGCGCTCAGCTCGACGCTGTTCAATGACGGATTCGCCTGCGGGACGTGCTACCAGATTCGGTGCAGAGGGTCGCCGCATTGCTACGGGAGCTTCCCAATCATCACGGTGACCGGCACCAACCTCTGCCCGCCTAACTGGGCCCAGCCCTCCGACAACGGCGGGTGGTGCAACCCCCCCAGGAGACACTTCGACCTGTCGAAGCCGGCGTTCATGCAGATCGCATATTGGAGGGCCGGCATCGTCCCCGTCATGTACCGCAGGTACGTACGTAGATGGATCTCGGCCAGCACAGGTGGCGTCGGTGTTGACGTAGCTTGGGAATCGCTGCAGGGTGCCCTGCGTCAGGAAGGGAGGGATCCGGTTCTTGCTCCAGGGTAACGAGTACTGGCTGCTGGCCTTCGTGATGAACGTGGGAGGGGAAGGAGACGTGGGAAGCATGTGGGTGAAGGGGAGCAACACGGATTGGATGAGGATGAGCCGCAACTGGGGAGCCTCCTTCCAGGCCTTCTCAAGGCTCGGGGGCCAGTCGCTCTCCTTCAAGATCACCTCCTACACCACCAGGAAGACCATCATCGCCACCGACGTCGCTCCCTCCACCTGGTACTTGGGAATGACGTACGAGGCCGACGTTAACTTCGCGTGAGGGAAGCACATAAGTGCCTGCAAAATGTAAAGCCTGTCGTGATGGTTCCTTCTACTACTTGTTGTGTTGCCGCTTGATGTTTCCTTCTCTTACATACGACTCTTTTTGCTGGAGCTTTGATGGGGAAAGCCCAACGCTGCCAATGTTGAAGTAAAGAAGAAACTAGAAATCTCACGATAGATAATATAGCAAACACTTCTGTGCAGCATAAGAAAAAGAAACAAGCATGAACATATTCGCCATGTAAAAACAAAAAAAACTTGGTTATGATAAAAGAAGAGATCAAGGATTTGGAATAGTCATCATTAACAGGTGGTGAAAGTATAATGAAGGAGATCAAAACGACTTCACCGTTGACCTATCAAGTTGGTTGCCTTTTTACCTTCACTTTTTTTTTTAAATTCTTCAGCTTAGAAGTATATATAATTTACAAGTGTCTACTTCTCGAAGGCTCCCTCTCATCCTCATTGTGGTCTATCATACAAGAACATATCCTATTAAAGTGATCTCTCTGTAAGTTCTAGAGATAATTTATTCAGGGATATTTCCTCATTCATATCCTACCAATTTTAATTTTGTGGTCAATTTATTGTCATTATAATTGTAATTTCTAGATCATACGTTTTGTGGACATAGTCCTCAGATACACCACCGGGGCTTAGCATAAATGTAAAAAACACTTGCATAACTCATATTATATTACCATATTAAAGCTTTTTTTGATACCTCTTATATCAAATAAATATTTGGATGAGTGATGATTGAGAGGTGATGGGAAGAATCTTTTTTTTAATAATAAATCCTTATACTCAATTGCATTATCTCTACGTATTAAACATCATAAACCCCTTCTCTATTTATAAAGGTTAGAGGATAATTATAAACCAAATGTATTTAATACTGTACATAGTTTTCTAGATAAATCCTCATTCATATCTTATTTAATTACGTCACAATTATCTAAGTGACATTATAAATTCTTTTTTAGGAAAAAAAATTACTCTAAATCATCAAATTCTCAGCTATTTGGAGGTGAATTACCTCTCCAAAAAAAAAAAATTAATAGAATGATGTCTTAAGAAATTTGCTAAAAGTGTGGGCCAAAAAAATATGTTGGCATGGGATGTGTCTCTAGTGGGTAACAAAAGTATCTTTTGCTAGTTGAAATATGTCTTGGAATATGTTTTTATGCATCCATGAGATCCTTCTTGGTTGTTGTAGGATTTGAATGAGTTGCTTGGAGTCTTATAAGGAGGAACATATGCCATCACTGGAAGCTTTCTTCGACCCTTTGTAAATTGTCCACCATTCTAAGTTGCCTACAATTCAGTTGTTATTGGTGAGGAAGTTTTGTCGGTGTAGTAATCGGCTAAGATAATGTTATTGTGTTGATCAAATGTGGTGTAACCTACCCCTGCAAAAGGAGATCAAGGAGACTAAGAACCATCACACGAGAGAATAGCAGTGAGGTTTAGGGGTTGAAATGGGGTAAGGAGAGGGGATATTCCTTGGATTTGTTCTTTTTTCTAGTTGGATAATGAAGCTTCATTAGTTAGGACGAGTGTCGTGACCCTGATAGTGGCGGATTGAAGGTCTTGGTTGTGATGTTTACAGTTGTTATGGTGCTTTCATAATAACCAAAGGAAGTTTGCTAAAAGAGAGCAGAAGATAGATGTTAAATGAGGGTCTAAGTCATCCCCTTCATGTAGCCATGAATCATAAGATCAATCATCAAATATGAGAGTTCTGATTTTGAACAATAAATCAAAGACTTTCTGTAAAGACACAATCACCTTAATTGACACATTAAATAGATGTTGATATATTTGAGTATGAGGTGGAAGGTCCATTATGAGGCCGGAATGCATTTCCAAAGAAGTTAATACCCACATCACCTTCCAACCATTCCATATATCTTCCATTTTTCTAGGATCATCCTTTAGGTAGGTACAACTATTACAAGTCAATTATAATCCAAGAGGTTAAGGGATCCAGATCCAATAATCATCATTTCGTGTAATAGGAATGAAGATGTTAAGAATATAGCTATCAAGGTTCATAAAAAATATGTGATGAATAAGTTGGACATTTCATAAGTTGTGTTCAATGAAGTTGGAGACATAGGTGAGAGTGTCCCGATAATTGTTGTTGATAAAAGTGGGTCATTTAAATAGTGAAATATTGGTGATCTAAAATCATTCTAAATATGGGTGGTAACACCGTTAGATGACTCTTCTGAATCCTAGTTTAGGAATATTGACTATATTAGAAAGGAATGTCTAAGGATTAATTATATATTATCTCATATAATTAATTATCTTTAGCATCCAGATCCTTACACTTTTAAAAGTTACATTATGATCCTTATATTTATGAAAGTGAAATATTGAGATCCGCAGAGTTAAAAAGATAATTTTATATAGTTAAAAATCAAGAGAGAGAGAGAGAGAGGAGGCAGGGTTTGTTAGAGCAACGAGGTTAAATATTTACTTTCTTAAGTATAGGGATATCAACATAACTTTTAAAAGTATATGAATCGAGATGCTAAAGATAACTAATTATAGGAGATAATATGTAATTAGCCCGATTTTCAACCATAAGAGGTGATTTTTGGTATAGGCAAATTCTAAGGGTGAATGTGTCTATATTTGGTTATCGGGATTTTGGCCCAAAGACAATTCACATTTTTTAGAAGGGAGATAATGCATTTAGTAGTAAATGTAGTTTTGATCTATTTTAGGTCATGCAGTCCTATACCACCATTTATCTTAGGATTTATAACCTGATCCCAACTGATTTGACATAAACTATTGTGACTTAGAGAACTATTCCAAAAGAATTTTCTAGAGTTGGTAGTAATTCTGTTAACATGTATATCAGAGACCCAAGTATTCATCAAGGTATATAGTGGGATGGCATTGATAATAGAATTAATAAGATTAACTTTTTGAGCTTGAGAAATCAAACCTTTTTGCCATCCTTGGATCTTATGAAGAGTCTGGTATTGTTAACGTATGTGCCTAAGTAACTAATGGGCTAGTTGCCCTGAGGAGATTTTTCAAATGACATTTGGTGTTAGAATTGTAGTTTTTAGGAAAATAAATGATAGATTTTTTGATAGTAACCTGAAGGCCTATGATTTTAGAATAAGTGTTTGGGACACTAATAAGATTATGGTATGACTTGTTATTGACTCTGAATGCTATGATAATGTCATTGGAAAACTTTAAGTGAGTGAGCTTAACACCTTTGACATTGAATGAGGTAATCCATCCATGGTAGATAGCTTATTGAGTATATTAGAAAGTATTTATTAAGTGATTACAAATAGTAAGGGTAAGAGAAGAACACCTTAGTGGATACTATAATGACTCTTAAATAAGTTAGTGGGGTGGTCATTAATAAGATAGGAGAAACTCGACAAGGAGATATAGGATTTAATATATTTAATAAAAATTAATAAAAAAATATTTTGGTCATGGTTAAAAATATACTATCTCGGGAAATAGAATCGAAAGCTTTAGAGAGATCAATCTTTACTAGTAACAAAGGATTGTAATTTTTAGAGTTATATACTGAATGAGTTATTTCATGGACTACAAAGATATTATCATGAATAGATCAACCTACAAAGAAGGTCGATTGGGATTCATTGATGATATTGGGTAGGATAATCCTAATTCTATTAGTAAGAGTTTTGGTAAGGATATTATATAAGACATTATAAAGAGCTATGAATCTATAGTCAGAAATAGCTTAAGGATTTGACATTTTGGATATAAAGATTAAATTGATTCTTTTCTAACTAGTATGTAAAATGGTAGAATATTGAAATTCATTCAACATATTAGTAATTATGAGGGCAAGCAAATCCTATAAGTGTTGAAAAAATTAGATGGTGATCTATCTAGTCTAAGACTTTTGCCTAAGCCTATAGAGAAAAGGGTAGCTTGGATTTCGAGTATAGTAAGCGAGACCATAAGATGATCCTAGCTAGAATTTGGGATTTTGTGAAAGTGAGGCCAATTGAGGTTGAAGGGATCTGAAATGTCCATATTGGGAGCCTAAAGTTTAGAATACCATTGTAAGAAGAAAAAAATTATATCATTTTGATAAGTTAACAAATCACCATTGTGAATTTTATGTGGAACTGAGTGGATGAGGTTTTTATATTATTTATGTTTGACAAGTGCATAGAAGTATTTAGTGTTCTTGTCGTTGTTTTCAATCTAATTGTTTTTTACTTTGGTCAATAATTTAAGATGAATTGTAGCAGGTCATGCTCTTGTTAGTGTACTTGGAGTTTTAGATATCTATTATTCAAGGAGTTGGAATTGCTACGAGCTTCAAGGTCTATGTTGGTAGTAATGATTTTTTTGATTTTAGTTTCAATATTACCTAACATTATATTACTCCATTTGGAGATGTTAGTACTAAGACTAATCAATCTATCATGAAGATAGTGAAAGGATATGGATGGTAAATTAGAATTGGACCAGGACTCAGTGACTATGGTCCTGAGTTCAGGAGACTCTATCCAACATGATTTTAAAATGAAGTATACAGTGATAAGAATTAAACGAAGAAGATAGAAAGATAGAAATTGTAAAAGAAACTATGAAATGTATACATTTCATAGTT